GGGTTCAAGCCCTGCATTAGGCTCTGTGTTGACAGTGCAAGCCTGCTTGGGATTCCCTTTCTCTCTCTCTGTCTCTCCCCCACTTGCACTGTCTCTCTCTCAAAATAAATAAATAAACTTAAATTTAAAAAAATAAAATAAGATAGTGTTTGTTCATCCAATGCCTAGTAACATCTTTAAACCTTTATTTGTGGACTAAACGAACAATTTGATGCTATGACTAAGTACATACAAGGACTAACTACTACACCTGAAGCATATCACCAATAGGTAAGAGAGGCATAGCCTTCACCAACAGGTGGGACTTGCCACCCCTTTTGACCAGGAGACTGGAAGGACATCAAAGTCCTTAGAAGAAAACATGCACTGTAGCCTTGCTGAAAAGAAGCTTAAAAGATGCTAGTGACCACCTATACTGCTATCAAAATAGACAAGAAATCCTTCTGGATTCACGTAGGCAGTGCTAAAATAGACCCAGATCACCATTCATAAGATGACTGGAAGATAACCTCTACAGGTGACCTGAAAATAAGGATTCCTCGGGCCCAGACGCAGGCCCTAGAAGTAAATGGCACCATGATGTAAACAGCATCCCCCAAGATCATGGATCAAAAAACTTCTTTCACCTACTCCTCCTTTTTTTAAACACTCCACAATATTAAAACAAAAAGACTTTCTTTTTAATACATTTTCCACATTTATAAATCATTTAATGAAAGGCAGACCAGAGAATGCTTGTCTCTATCCTACTTCCCCCTCTCTGAGTTGCCAGTGTGGGCTCTTTTCCAAACTGTTTCTTGTTCTTATTAACTCCTTTTCAACAGGTCAGGAATAGACCAAACACCCACTTATGCAAGTTTACTAAACATTAACTAGTCATCTGACTGTTGACTGTGTCAACATCTAGATAATGCAAACAAACAAAAAACATGGGGCACCTGGGTGGCTCAGTCAGTTAACCTTCCTACTTTTCATCTTGGCTCAGGTCATGGTCTCACGGTTCATGAGATGGAGCCCTACATAGTGCTCTGCACTGGCAGTGTGGAGCCTGCTTGGAATTCTCTCTCCCTCTCTCGCTTGCATTTTCTGTCTCAAAATAAATAAATAAAATATTAAAAAAAAAAAAAAAAAGCTTGAACTGGTCTTTGTTTCTGCTAATAGAAACACTTGATGGACTGAGCAAGGGAGATGGGTAAATAATAAGGTGTGATATCCATGATCAGAAGAAAGTCACTCTGCCTTTTTCCCTGTTGAGTTACGTGGGCCTTAGAAAACCTCTACAGAAGCTCAAAGACTATCCCTTGTCAGGGTTAAAACAACAGCGGAAGATTTTTCCCTTTACACTGAAAACAGACCGCCACTGGACTTCTGGGTAGTATACTAAGCTAGTATTACAACCAAACTCTGTGTTTGATACTGAAAATAGCCTTTGCTTTCTTTTTTTTTTTTTTTTGAAAATGGCATTTTTAGGGGCGCCTGGGTGGCTTAGTCGGTTGAGCGTCTGACTTTCGCTTAGGTCATGATCTCACGGTTCGTGGGTTCAAGCCCCGCATCGGGCTCTGTGCAAACAGCCAGCTCAGAGCCTGGAGCCTGTTTCAGAGTCTGTATCTCCCTCTCTCTCTCTGACCCTCCCCTGCTCACGCTGTCTCTCTCTCTCTCTCTCCTAGAAATAAATAAAACATTTAAAAAAAAATTAAAGAAAATGGCATTTTTAAACTTGGCAAGGAGATTAAAAATAACCCTAGCATAAAAGTTTGCCAAATCACCAAATGGCTTACATATCAGCTGCCCCTCTTGTTAGACTGCCCGATACCACTACTTAGTGGTAAGCAGTGTGTAAGTATATTTGGGTGGATCAAAATTGAGATTTCCTTGGGTAGGTGACAAAGGTAAGCTTTATAGCTGCCAGAACGAAAGTACAGACCTCCTACTTTGCTATTTCACAACCTGCTCTGCTCTCATAGACTGACAGGACCACATGAAAAATAGAGATGTATAGGCATTATCAATGGCAAAGGTCATAGAATGCTCCAGACTTTAAAAATTACAGGTTTCAGGGAGCATGGGTGGCTCAGTCAGTTGAGCATCGGACTTCGGCTCAGGGCATGATTTAATGGTTCGTGGGTTCAAGCCCCCCATTGGGCTCTGGGCTGACAGCTCAGAACCTGGAGCCTGCTTCGGATTCTGTGTCTCCCTCTTTCTCTGTCCCTCCCTGGTCACAAAAATAAATTAACGTTTAAAAAAAAAAAGAAACTACAGGTTTCAAGGGTGCCTGGGTGGCTCAGTGGGTTGAGTGTCAACTCTTGATATGGGCTAAGGTCATGATCCCATAGTCATGGGATCAAGCACCGGGCTGGGCTCTGCACTGTGGAGCCTGCTTAAAATTCCCTCTCTCCTTCTCTTTCTCTCTCTCTCTCTCTCTTTGTCCCCTTGCCCTTCTCCCCTGTTCCTTGCATTTGCTTGCTTTATATTTCTATTTCTAAAAGAAAAAAAAAATTACAGGTTCAACCTAACCTTGTTTGTAAATCATACCTTTTTTTTTTTTAATTTATTTAGTTTGAGAGAGAGAAAGAACACAAGCCAGGAAGGGACAAAGAAGAGAGAGGGGGAGATAGAGAATCCCAAGCAGGCCCTGCCCAAACTGTCACCATGGAGCCAGAAGCGGGGCTCAGTCCTATAAACCATGAGATCATGACCTGAGATGAAATCAAGAGTCTGATGCTGAAATGAATGAGCCACCCAGGTGCCCCATTCACAGCCCCTTTTTATTTTATGTGGCAACAAAGTACACAAAGGGTTTCCACCTAAATTTTCAGGACAATGTGGATTCATACTTGGCTCCTTCCATCACTAAATACTCTACCTTATATACCAAATTATAAACTACATACACTGCCAACTCAGCAAGGAGGAAATTTCCCAATTGCTGGCGGAAAATGTTGCTTCTGTGTAAACCAAATGGGACAAATACCTAACTTAAATCTGTCACAAGAAGGATAAATATTTGTCATCAGATAAATGGAACAGGAACCTTTATTGGACTGATCTATTTCTGGGGTTAGGGAACTGGTTTAATGGGATATGGGGAAACACAATCGGATTTGTTCTTCTCGGCTTCCTCATTCTAATCTATGTGTTTTCTCTTTGCAGATCTCTTACCACTCACTTACTAGCTCAGTTTCTCTCTCCACAGTCACCAGCTCAGCTTTCCATATTGAAACTCCCAGGGAAGTTTCAGAGGGAACTGGACAGGCCCAGGGCAGGCTGCCCCCAAAATGTGCCACAATGGCATACTGGTTATTTTGAATTGAAGCTACTTGGGAAATAGCCAGTGTACGGACATAGACCTTCCTCTGTCCCCCACCCTGCCCCCTCCCCACCAGGCAAGAAATAGTCTTCCATTAGAAGTTACCTTCCCTGTATTAATAAGTAAAAAAGACATCCTAATCACCAGAGATAGAAATTTTAAAGCTGATAAAGCTGTAGAAATAAACTTTGTTACTTTTTAAGGTTTATTTATTTTGACAGGGGGGAGGGGCAGAGAGAAAGGGGGAGAAAGAATCCCAAGCAGGTTCCCCAATGACAGGGCAGAGCCTGATGTGAGGCTCAAACTGATGAACTGTGGGATTCTGACCTGAATCGGAGGTTTAACTGATTGGGCTGCCACCCAGGCAAACCTTGTTACTTTTTACTAATCTACAATCTCAGCCCAAATTCTTAGACTTCCTTACTAATTAAAACTCTCAAACATCTATTTTCTTTATCCTGTTAATTCCTCATAAATTTATTGTCTTTTTGTCTAAAATGTATAAAAACTGCCGCCCTTGGTCATTTCTTTGGATCTCGATTCCATTATTGGGTCTCCATGTGCTCCTAATGAAACTTTGGGGTTTTTCCTGTTAATCCGTCTCATGTCACTTTAATTCCTAAACCAGCTGGAAAAACCTGGCGGTGAAAGACATTTTTTTCCTTCCCCTATTTTTACCAATCATCATGTTAACAGATCCCTGAAAAAAAAATCTAAAGTTCTCTCCAGCTTCTGGACAGTAAGCCTTTGACCAAAAAGTAAAATGTTGGTATCATTTTATATGTGCTTTCATAGACTCACTCTCTGCATATTGTGTGGAAGTTTGGTTAAGACACTTTGGAGAAAATTAAAAAAAAAACATTTTATTAAACAGCTGAATTAGTTTCTGGGAGAACAAAGTTGCTAAACTAAATCTCAAGATTCTTTCTGGGCCTTTGTGCCTCCACCCAAGTTAATGTTTAGCTGAGCACCTCCACGTGCTCAGGTGAAAGCAGGAAAGTTGCAAATAGGGGTTGAAGAAGCTGAATAATACTATGCATAATAGTTAAGATTTTGGAGGTTCTATACTAGTAATTACTGGAGCTGTACATGTATACATATTTTATTGATAAACTACCCATGAAAAAGTAATTTTGTTGCATCTAAGACATACCAAAGCACTGGGGATGGATATATGGGGAATTAGCAGGGGGGAGAAGGGAGAGCAGTGGTGATTTTCAGCACAGACTGCAACTTTTGCAGCTTTATGGGGCTAACCAATATAAGAAACTGTCTAGTCTCATATTCACTATAGACAGTTCCTGACTTTCAATAGTTCAACTTATGATTTTTCTACTTTACAATGGAGCAAAAATGATACCCATTCGGTGGAAATCATACCTTGAATTTTGATCTTTTCCCAAGCAAGTTGCAATGTGGTACAATATTCTTTTGTGATGTTGTGTATTAGCAGGTCCAACTCGAGTCTACTACACAATCACTAGGGTACACAACAAATCCATTAAAACCATTCTGGTTTTCACTTTCAGTACAGTACTCAATAAAGTACATGTTATTATTATAAAATAGGCTTTGTGTTAGAGGATTTTGCCCAATTGTAAACTAATGGAAATGTTCTGAGCACCTTTAAGGTCCACTAGGCTTAGTTATGACGATGCATAAGTTAACCGTATTAAATGCATATTCAACTTACCATATCCAGAGGTACCCCATCATAAGTCGAGGAAGATGCAACAGAAGAGGAAAGGATAGGGCAGCCAAACTGTGAGGCTGAGAAAACAATTAAAGTCAGTCAGTCAAGGGGAGGGGCCCTTTAAGTACGTTGCTGACCATGCCCGAAGACTTGTCACCTAAGACTTGAAGTTGGGTTGCCAATCATCTTCTGGGTCTGCAGTCGCTGACAATATTTAGGGCCACATTCCCCCTTGTCCATTCGTATTTTTGTACCGCTGCTTGGCAAGGGTCAGATCCTGAAACTCTCTGGGTCTTGGCTCCTTCACCTGTAAAACGTGGGGTTTGCACCGTAGAGGAGAGTTTCTGGAAAGCGCTCGGAAAGCAGCACACAGGTGTGGAAAGTGAAGCGCGGCTCAGTCCTTGAGCTTTTTGGCTGAGGCTTGGGGAGGCGGAGGAAGATGAGTTGGCTCCGAGACAGCGTGGGAAGGGAGCGCACCAGTAGGCGAGCATGACTTAGGGGCCGGACCGTCACAGCCACCTACAGGCTTCCCCGCTGCGGGGCTGGCTGCGGACTGTGGAAGCCTGGGTTCCTCCCGCACCCGCCGCTTCCAGCCGGCCGACCCGCGCTCGCCGGCCCCGCCCCATGGCTCGCCGGCCCCGCCCCATGGCTCGCCGGCCCCGCCCCATGCCTCGCCGGCCCCGCCCCATGCCTCGCCGGCCCCGCCCCATGCCTCGCCGGCCCCGCCTCGGCGCGCGGAGGCCGGACTTTAGCATGGGGGCCAACCCCGCTCCCGCTCCCGCCTCTCTCCCCGCCTCCTTCTTTGGGTCCCGCCCCGCGGCGCAGGGGGCCGAGCTCCGGCGAGGGGGGCGGTGGCCGCGGCGGTGACAGCCGCTCCCCGCCCCCGAGGGTCGCCACGTCCCTCACGTAGCGCCGGGCCAGGCGCTGAGTGGCGACCTGGCGGCCCCAGCTCGGGCTCCTCCGGCTGGCTCGGCATGAGGCTGGCGCGGCTGCTTCGCGGAGCCGCTTTGGCCGGCCCGGGCTCCGGGTTGCGCGCGGCCAGCCCCGGCGCCAGCCGCAGCCTCACCTCAGACTCGGCCTCCGGGCCGGCGCCGGAAAGCGGAGTTCCGGGCCAGGTGGACTTCTACGCGCGCTTCTCGCCGTCCCCACTCTCTATGAAGCAGTTCCTGGACTTTGGTGAGTGTGGCCCGGGCCTCGGGCCTTTGTGCGCGGCCCTCCGCGGGGAAATGCGGCCCCTGACCCGGGCCGGGCCCAGCCCTCGCTGGCTCCCTCTCACCTCTGGCGCACCCCTTCTTAACGTCTCCTCCCCCCAGCGTTTTAGGTGTTTCCTTCCTCCCTTGCGGACAGATCTTCAAGCTCAGGTGCAGGCGCTGGCGGGCCGGATAAATAACTGGGGGTGTGTGCCTTTTTATTGTGTATTGTTGGAAAACAAGCCAGGAGGGCGGCGGGCGGAATGACCTCCCGTCTTTCTGCATGTGTGCAGATCCCAGCTCTCTGCCAGGGCCTTCTGAAGAGTAGAGCTCTGGCTGGAGGCAAGTGTGTTGCACACTCCCAGGAGTCGTGTTCGGATTCAGCAGTGATGATAAATGCTCAGTTTTGTAGGCGATGATTGCATAAAATTGGCGCGATGATAGGGGAAGCAGGTTATAACTGGCCCAAGTGTTAAATAGAATGTTTTCCTTGCCACTTGCTTAATAGTGTTTCCGCCAACAGCACATTCATTTCATCATCAGCAAGTAAGTCTTGAGCACATGTAAAGTGTGTGAGCACAGGACTTGGGGATTGCCACATTTCACCCTGTAGAAGCGACTGTCCACTTTCCTCTCCTTCCGGTGGGCCCTTCCTGGTTTTCTCTAGAAAGGATGCAACAGATTGCAGAGAAATTGCAAAGTTAGACGTTTAACTTTGACTTCTCATGTGGAGGCGCGGAGGGGGAAAGGGAAAACTAATAAACTCTGATAAAGTCATAACATTTCAGTAGAAAAAGTTATCTTCTGCACTGTGAGTACTGTTAAGTCAGTAATGGATCTCTAGTGGGCTCAAAAGATATCAGCATAGCTGGCAGCTTTATCTTAAAATTGTGGTGTGCAGTGGCAAAACTCTTTTTGGCTCAAAGCCCTCGGTTTTTTGTTACTTTAAAATTACCGTAGTGTGATTAAGGGGTGAATTTGGCCTTGTTCACAGTATGCCATTAAACTTTCACAAGAAAATGTTTTCCTTTAATTCGGTAATTACTGCTCTGAACAATCTAGTTTTTGCTAAGGCTGCCTTTCTAAAACAGCAAGATTACATTTGTGAGTTTAAAATGCATTGCTGAAATAACATGATCTTTTAGTTTAACTTTCAATGGAACTGCTTGTCAAAGGACATTCAAAACCGTTCTGCTTAGCAAGTTGATATAGGAGTGGAGGAGGAGCAGGATGCTTTCCAGGAATCAGACTATTGAATAAGGGAGGGTGGGGATTGGTGGTGGTGGTGCCAGAGGAGGGGGAGATTGAAAATGGTTGCTGAATAGGCATTGGGGTTTTTTTGTTTGTTTGTTTTGTTTTGTTTTTTGCTTTCTGTTATCTGAAAGTCCTCCTGTACATCAACTCTTTGCGTATCGTGGTTCACATACACATGACAAAATTTCTCTGTTTATGTTAGACAGGTATTCATTTCTTACAAACCTGGAGTTAGGAAACAGATTTTCTAAATAATAGCAGCATCTGGTTACATAGGATAGGCTTTGGCAGGTCCTGCGGTTACTGAGACTCTGCACCTTGCTCAGACTTGGCTCAGGTTACCTTGGTGCTAAGATGATCACAGGAAGGATGCAAGTGATGGAGACAGGAGAGTATCTTCATTGCTCTACAAAGTGATTAGAAAATGTCAAGACTTAGAAGGTCATTTAGGATGCATCACAACCCTGCTGACTGGGTTATTTCATCCCTTGCCTCCTCATTCCCTGTCATTATGTTGATGCTACCACTCTGAGGTCGCCAGAGTAACTTTCTCTGTGTTTCTCTCTGCCTCTTGGCTTCTACTGCCTTATGGGCTCTACTTACTGCTGTTCCCACCTTGTTTGGTTTTAGGATCTATGAATGCTTGTGAAAAGACCTCATTTATGTTTCTGCGGCAAGAGCTGCCTGTTAGATTGGCAAATATAATGAAGGAAATAAGTCTACTTCCAGATAATCTTCTCAGGACTCCATCGGTTCAGTTGGTACAAAGCTGGTAAGATTACCGTCTTGTGTTTGCAATTTCAGTGGACTTAACAGACTTTACTCAAGGTGAAAGCAAATACTTTTTTACTCTTCAGTGGAATCTTATGGTAGTAAGAGCATTCCTCTTCCTCTTTTTGGGTGTGTCTGGGCTTGTCCCCTGAATCCTGGCTTCTACCACTCCTTGGCTTTGAGAAAATAAACAGACAACCAATCAGAACCGCACAGAAATTTAACACACAATAAATTTAAGATTTGTGTTATTAAATCTATGGATGTTATATTATAATAAAAAATATCTACAAAAAAATATATATATCTACCACTTGTTGATGGTTAGGGATTTATATGCATTACCTTTAATCCCTTCAACAACTCTGCCCGTTAGGCGTTTTTATCATCATTTACAGGTGAGGAAACTGAGGCATCTACTGGTCTTTTGCCAAAGGTAGTACCATTCACAGTGGAGCTAGGATTCAAGCCCAGATTTGTTTCTTTCTACTATACCATGCTCCAGTCAAAATGATAAAATGTATTAGTGTGTATATATTTTTGAATAAACTGAATTTATTTTATTGAAGTGTATCTTTATCAAACACAAAAGTTAAAATCTTTATTCTACCATTTTAAGGTAATTAGAAATTAGTGGAATCATAAGGGAAACTATGATCTCTCTTGAAAAATATGACAGTAGAAGTATTAAGGGTGTGAACATATATGTGGCCATTTAAATACAGCCTTTCTTGAAAAATAAGATAAGAACAGAGAGGGAAGCAAACTGTAAGAGACTCTTAAATACAGAGAACAAACTGGGGGTTGCTGCTGCAAGGGTGTTGGGCTGGAAGATGGGCTAAATGGGCGATGGGCATTAAGGAGTGCACTTGTTGGGATGAGCACTGGGTGTTATATGTAAGTGATGAGTCACTGAATTCTACTCCTGAAACCATTATTACACTATATGTTAACTAACTTGGATTTAAATTTTTAAAAATCAGTATAGCCTTTCTTGTTAATGTTATTAATTTAAAAGTGTTATTCTTCACTGAGTGTTGTGTAGAAACTAATTTGACAATAAACTATTTGTAAAAAAAAAAAAAAAAGTGTTATTCTTTTAAGCACTATACATTACAAACAAAAGAGTTTGCCAGAGTGCAGTCTTAAATGGAAAAAAGAAGTAAGCTGCGAGATTTTTCCCAGCTATGATTCATGGAGATCTTAGCACTCTTTTGTATCCATTATAGTTTGTAGGAGAAGCTATTCTAACTTCAACTTTAAAAAACAAGCAAAATACCATGTATAGTACTAATAAATGATCTGAATAACAAAAAATAAATAAAAATAAAAAAAACAAGCAAAAGAAGTAGGACTGCTATAATATGTGATAATGAGATGCTATCTATTTCAAGTATGAAACAATTATAAGTGTGGTTTAAAGAGGAGGCATTTATTTAGAAACTACAATGGCATATAAAGGAGAACATCTAATTTTCTATGGAAGCTTGTTTCTGTTTTTTAAAATTCTTTGTTGAAAATAGAATATACTGCATTTTGAAACCTATTCTGTGCCTAACGCGTTGTAAGTACTCAACTATCTCTTGAATAAAGAGCATAGTTTTTCTTGCCAATGAAGAGAAAAGGGTTAAAGAAAATGTCAAAATCACTTGACTTTGGAATGCTTTGGACTGCAGAGAGGCACACTGCTTGTCAAGAAGAACTTTCCAAATCAACATATGGATTTACAGATTTTGAAAACACTTTCATTGCTCCTGGATGCCTACTAAAGACAGTTGTAGATAACAGTGCCAACAGACCAGTCAAAGCAGTCCCTATATAATTGAAGGTCATTGAATAGTAGTGAGGTATTTTCAGCTCTGGCCCTGTACTGCCATTGTGCTTGGCAGCATGACCTTGACAAAGTCATTTGACTTTCCTCATTTTGCTCCTTCCTTAACGGGTAATTTGCTACCTTGAATTAGATAAATTCAAATTTAGATAAATTTAAAACCTACATTTTTATGACTTTTGACTTTGTTCAGCTCTGTTCAAAAGAACTATGTGGTGAATTATAGGCTTTTAACAAATATTTGTTGACTGGACATAAACTATTGGCCTGGAGACATGCTTTTGAAGGACAGCCGCCTTCAGCTCCAGCCGGTCATTGCTGTTGCAGAAGTACTACCCAGATCATCTGATATTTGTTTGTTTAAAGAAGACCCACAAGTCTAGATTGTTAATGTAGAATCTCCCAACTTTGAAAGATTGCAACTAATTAAAAATTTTGTAAAGCACCAATGCCCTAGAAGGCCTGTAAGGTTTTAAAGCACAAGTTTTAAGTTGGACTCGTAGACTGAGATAGGTGTGCCTCCACATTTCACTGAGACTAAGACAAATTAAGT